TGATCAGAACGTGTACTATTGACTCCGTCCTGAAGGGGTTAATGTGTGTCCCTGTGTACTGTTGGTATCTCCCAGAGTTATCTGTAACCCAGCCCCCTACTGCCTGGGATTGTGTTATGTTGAATGGAGACCCCCTGAGGGGGTCTGTGCATAAAGGAAGCCTGTTTCCAATAAAGATTGCCAGTGTTTTAACCTCCACAACTGTGTCTCGTCTGGTTACTGGTGGGAAGGAAGATTTAACCCCTGTGTCTGCTGTTCCAGTTTGAAGGGGATGCAGCGGGGAAGTCCGGGTTCCCCTACCCGTTTTCCCTGGTTCCAGCTAGGAAGCAACCACTCTGGTGGAGTTACCCAGCCGGGGTACAGGGTGCTCCGCTACAGATGGTACAGAAAGGGAATATTAAATGACAAGGTGGATGGAGAAACACAACATTTATATTCAACCATCTGCTAGATTGTCACAAATTACTAATAACAAATCACTAGTGGTTTCTTTAAAGTAATACTGTGATAAAATAAATACAAGAAAATCTAGTATTGGACGGCTAGATTTGTGTATGCAGGATCAGAAGAACCATTACGAATTGTTAATAGCTAGCTATGTAAATGAATTGAAGCACACAGAAATCCTGCAGAAAAATCAGTTGATGGCAGTCATGACATAATAAAACATGGTGAGTCTGGTAAATCTAACCTTGAAATTGTAACGCTAACATCGGGGATAGGGAGAGCTAGCTGTGTCACGACAGTGACCCCTTCAAACAGAGTGAAACCCAGAGGAAGACGTATACCGGACTTTAGAATGGCCGGACTTGCGCCTGAGAGTAGTCAAAGGGATAGCCAGAGGTCAAGGGAATACAGAAGATGGGCACACGATAATCCAAGCCAAAACAATAGGAAACCAGAGAACAGGATAGTCAGAGTGTAAGCCAAGAGTCAGATACCAAAAAGACAATCAGAAATAAAGAGCGCTAGGGGACTCAAACAAGAACCACACTAGGGCGCCTAACAAGTGCCAAGGTTGCCTTTTTATAGTGTGGGATCTTTAGCTTTAAAGCCACGCCCCCAAAAGGTCCGGGAGCGTGGCCACATTTGAATTTTGGCGGCACTAGTTTGCTGATGTTGGCGCACATGCGCCGCGTCATAAAAATGGGCATGTTCCAAGCGTCCGGTGTCAGAAGGACTGAGCCGCCTCCCGAAATTATGGGAGGAGAACGCCGCGCTGCGCGGGTCCGGCGGGGAAATGTAATTGATCGTTACAAGCTGGTGTTGATGGAGGTCAGTGTTATATATGCTGAGAGAGCAGATAGAAAAGATAAGTGAAGAATAATGAAGAAAACCGAGGATAGACTGGTGGAAAAATAAAGTGTGTACTCAATCAATTGTTCATATTATGACCAAAAGTGATAACTGTCTATTCAACCCTAAACTAAGACAGGGAGTCCGAATCAAAGGTGATTTTTAAAGCCACCTCCTCTAGATTAACACAGGATGTGAAGAATTTTCTGTAATGGGAAGAATTGTATTAACATTCGATACTTATCTCTAGGACTGATGCCTTTTAATTTATTGACCACAAGCTTTGCAAATTGAAAACAGCATCAGTTATACAGTTTTAACAATTGCTCCTTGTGTGGTATCTGTACTTACTCTTGTATAAGACATATATGAATAGTCCAAGGATCAGTAAGAAACAGATTGCCAGTAGAATGTATGGCAGACAGAAGGGACGTTTAGTTTGGTTATACTTCCCTGAATCTGGAAATAGATAAATTAAGGAAAAATTATTAAACTGGATTCACAGGTGGACATATAATACAGCAGTCGTAGTGTATTTAGGATTTGTGCTGCCCTAGGCACCCCTCCCCCCAATTTAAATTTTCCCCACCCCTTCCTGTCAAGGCCGCACCTTGACTGACAGACGCACACTAACTGACAGACGCACACACTCACTGACAGACACATACACTCATTGACAGACACACACTCTCATATACACTGACAAACAATGACATATACACACACTATTACTTGGACACACACTGACAGACGCACACTCTCACTGACAGACGCATGCACTTACTGACAGACGCACGCACTCACTGACAGACAACACACACACATTCACTCACATAGACACACACACTTGTAGACACATACTTACAGACATACACACTTACAGACACACACACATACACACTTACAGACACACAAACACAGACACACTTGCAGACACATACACACATACACATTTCACTGACAGACGCACACTCTCACTGACAGATGCACGCACACATTCACTCACATTCACATAGACACACACACTTACAGACACACACTTACAGACACACACACATTCACTTACAGACACACACACATACATTCATTTACAGACACATACACACATACACATTTCTCCCAACACTCACAATTATTATTTTTTTAAATTTTATTTTAAATCCACCCAGCCTCCCTGGGAGAGCTGGAGTGGATTCCTTACCTGTCCAGTAGGGCTGCTGGTCAGGCAGGCAGAGTAGGCGGTGAGGGAGCTCTGATTTTCCTGATCAGCTCCCTCGCGCGCCGCTTAATGATGCCGGGAGCCAGTCTAATGTTATATTCCGTCTCCCGGCTTCATTAAACGGCGCGGAGGGAGCTGAGCAGGAAGAGCTCAGGTGAGTATGCTCCCTCATTGCCCGCTGCCAGCCTCGGGGGGCTCAAAGGTGACCAGCCGGCCAGCTCTTGAGCCCCCCAAGACACGAGGCAAGCAAGGGATCTGCCTGGGCATTTGGGGGCGGCTTTTTTTGCCGCCCCCTGCAAAGTGCCACCCAAGGCAGATGCCTTGTTTGCCCCGCGGAAGACACGTCCCTGACTGTCAGCCTCTGGAATATAATGAATGTGATAATGCATTAGTCTTTATGTCTTACTCGATTCCAGCTGATTGGGAGTCTATGCACATACTGCATAATATTACACATTACACATCTGTTGGGTTAGCCATAAGTACCTTAAGTACCTTGCTGACCCACATTTAACAATCCTATTTTTACTAGCAGATATATTTGTATTTCTCTTTAAAATTTAGGCTATTTATTAACATAATTAAATAATTATATGTAGGTGTGCTTATAAAAAAATAATATTAATTAGATAATAATAAAATATATATGTATTTGTCACAATACATCTCCTTTTACACACAATATGTCAGTTTTATACTGTGCTTGTAATTGTATTACCTTGCTTGTACTATTAATTGAGAATGTAATAGTAAAGACAAATCGTTTTCTGTATTGGATCTTTAACATTTCACTTTAAGAGCTTTGTTGCCTTTTAATTATTGCACCAAGAGCTGTATTTGATGTTTTTTTTTTTTAAATAAGCTTTTTGGTGAATGACTAACTATCCATTGTGATCTTGATAACGTCCTAGAATCAGGAGGAAACACATCAACCTATTAATCATGTTCTATTATTTTTATATACCAGTAAATTATTGAATTTTCAGTTGCTTAAACTCAGTTATAGCTCAAAGGACTCCCCTATAGAGCATTTCATTGGTGCAGCGCAGTTTACCATTAAACCCTGGAAAAGGAGAGAGGATATCAACATGGGTAGTGGGACACTATAGCGTTAGGAATACATATTTATATTCTTATTGCAATAATGTTTCTTTAAGTTTTTCAATAAACTTTATTCAACAGTGGAGCTCAGTGCTGTGAAAGTGAATTTCAAATTTAAGGTCAAAATAGCAAAAATTGGAACATATTATCTCAACTATGCTTCCTGTAATGCTAATTTGGCTTTCAATTTGAAATTCACTTTGAATTTACATTTTATTTTCTCTTTAGTAAATATCCCGGTGGGTTATTCACAAAGGTGAAAAAATAGACTGTTTCCAGTTCAGCTAATTCTTACCTCAAATATGTCATCTACATTAAAGTCTCTCGAGTGACAAACCCTGTCAATGGGAATTCAGGTGAATGGCAAAGGCGATTGTATACTTTAAGCTTGGCTTATCTCCAACACTTTTCCAGATTGACTGTTTATGAAGATTTGACAAGAGAATTACAATCCAAATTTCCTTTTTAGTAACTACATACTGCAGGATTTATACTGACAGACCATCTTGAAGTAGAAGCAAATAAAAATTGTTACCTTCAAACAGCATACGCTGGTTGGCTTTTTCATTGCATATGCTGCAGTCTGAGTCCATGGTTGGATTGAAATGCTTACTCACTAAATTTTCTTGTTTTTAAGTCCAAAATGACTACACAGAAAGGAAACTAGTGAGATAAAATCCTGCTCACGTGAGTATTTAAAATGTTTTGCAAAGATTCCAGCTTGATGTTGACTCTGAGCATACATACCTCACCTTGTGATTGGCTCTGGCAGGAGATACTGATACAGTATATGATGTATTACACTGTGATTTTATACTATAAGAGATAATATCTATGTAACTTTAAGGTTCATTTCTTCTATGCGAATTGCTCATTTACATGAAACATGAACATTATTGATATAGAAATACAGTCAGGTCCATAAATATTGGGACATCGACACAATTCTAATCTTTTTGGTTCCATACACCACCTCAATGAATTTGAAATGAAACAAACAGGATGTGCTTTAACTGCAGACTTTCAGCTTTAATTTGAGGGTATTTACATCCACATCAGGTGAACAGTGTAGGAATTATAACAGTTTGTATTTACGAGGTGTGGGTAGTCCATATGTCGATAGTTGTTGCCGGCTGTGAACGTGCCCTCCAGATGCAAGTGTGGCATGTTTACTTGAGAGGCACAGAGGTAGACTCTTCAGCCGATGCCCAGTGCATGGACATGTCTCTTTTCGTCAGCGTTGGTCTCCTTGAAGGTGTCCCCGAGCCCAGCTCCAGTGGTGTTCAGTGGGGTGTTCAGCCATGCAACTCCACGGTTTGCAGCTGTGACTTGGAAGAATGGAGGTGAGCTTTGCTGGACGCTGGTTCCGGATCCGTTGAGTAGCTTATGTGGGAGGCTGGTTTGGTAGTCTCGTTCTCGTGAGTGTGGGGACCAGTGTGGTCGCTCCTGCAGCATGATGGCGTTTTCCACCCGTGGGCTCGTCGATGTTTGCAGGGTCTGGCTGTCGTTCTTGTAGTGGATACCTATAATGGCGCCGCCGGGTCACTGGACGGAGCCATGTGGCCACTAGTTTCACCGCCAGACGATGAGCCATTCCACGGTCGCTCAGCATGGTCCAGAGGCTCACGCAGAATAGGTCGAATTCCCCCAGGGGGTTCGAGGTTGGTTGAGTGTGTGTGCTTTGTTTTTGGGGCCTTCATTGGGCAGCCATCTTAGCTGCTTCCCAGTGACCCGATGAGTGCTGGTGCTGTTCCGGCTGTGTTGGACAGTCACTTCTGTAGTTGATTCGCTGTGTTCCAGGCTTTAGTTGCTGGGATATCCCTCTCCGGTGTGGGGGGGGAGGAAATATATCGGGGAGACCTCCAGGTAAGTAGTTGTAGTCTATCGCTTTGTCTGGGTAGGCCTCTAGTAGGCCTCTGGTCGATCTCCGGTTTGGAGCCTCGGATTTTGGTCGGGATGCTTGTTGCTTGGTTCTGCAGTGTTAGGGCTCCCTTCTTCAGGTCACCTAGTTGACAATTTGGTGAGTTTGTGCCCTGATTCTGGCCGTTTGAGAGAGCTTTTGCACGGAGCTCATCTCCAGTGCGACCGCTCAGCATGGCAGCTTACCTCTGCCCCCCCAACTCCATCTTTTTAAAGATGCTTTTTATCGGTATAGCCTAGCTTTTTGCATAGAGGTATTACAACTCTGTAGCTAAACCAAGATGCCTGGAAGCAGTGCAATCAGAGGACAGGTCCTTTGACACTGCCATTGGGCTCTTAAAAAGTGGCATGCTGAGACACTGTTTCAAAAGGAACTGGATGACCTCTTTATTTTTAAACTGAGAATAACCTCCTAAATCCAACATTTAACATATTGTGAGGCATTCAAACAGTGCTTAAAGGGACACTCCAGGCACCTAGACCACTTGTGCCCATTGGAGTGGTCTGGCTGCCAACTCCCACTACCCTTAACCCTGCAACTGTAATTATTGCAGTTTTCATAAACTGCAATAATTACCTTGCAGGGTTAAGTTCTCCCCTAGTGGTTGTCTACTAGACAGCCAATAGAGGGCACTTCCTGGTCCATAGCACAGAAAACCTGTGCTATAGCATCGCTGGACGTCCTCACGCTGTGTGAGGACCTCCAGCGTCGTTAAAATCCACATAGGAAAGCATTGAAAAGCATTGCCGCACATGCGCATTAGGTCTCCCCAGCCGGCGGGCGGGATCAGAGCCCCTTCAGCAACCGGGGGTGGGAGGGTGAGGGGACCTGCAGTGCCAGGAAAATTGATTGTTTTGTTGGGTTTTATTATATATGCATAAACATATAATAAAACCCAAAGGCAGCAATGGAATACAATTGAATACATAATTGTTACACAAGGGACAATCAGGGGAAACATATAAAATCTAAATTCAACAGCATTTTTTTATGAATTTTATAAAATATGCAAATCATTGTATCATATACATAGCCAAGCTTTAATAAATAAATATGGCTGCATTAAAGTTTATGGTCTTTGGGATTTAGATTTTTTAAATTATCACACAGAATGTAATCTGATAACAAACTTACCTGGTCCATGCGCCTGCACTGCTCCCCTCATCAGGTCGAGCAAGCCGAGCATTCCACATGCCGCACTGCTCCCCTCATCAGACCGAGCAAGCCGCACATTCCACACGCCGCACTGCTCCCCTCAGCAGTTTGCACGGACTGAACGCTCCACATGGCCACGCGACCTGGAATGGGAAAAAGCAACTTGCACTATACTTACCATTTGGCAATAACGGACCACTTCTCCTCCTTTTTTTGCATGGACCAAATACATCTGACAGCCCTGCTTCCCATGAATTAAGTCAGACACTGCCCACTTGATTGGCACGTCCTTATATAGTTTGAAGTACGTGACATAACACCCACCCTTAAAGTGACCAGGTAATCTAGGAGACCCTATTATTATACATTTTGGAGTTAAAGAGATGACATGGACCAATCAGAAAGTTTTGGCCCTTATTCAGTGCACTATCGTGGTTTTTACCTCGATATGTTTTATGTATATAGTAAGTCTCTCTTGATATTCTGATATTTACCTTGGCTTGTATTTTTCTTCATGTATTTCTTTTTTTTTCTTGCATGCCAGTTTCAGACGATGAGGACAGTGGGGACATCAGTAGTCAATGCTAGATTAGTTGAGCATACTAAATAATAAATAATCCAAACAATATATGTTTTTCCATCCAGCTAGAGAAGCAAGATGACAACTGCCCTGTTTAGGTCTTCAAATCTTGAGTGTCTTCATATCATGTTGAAGGGGAAAGACAGGTGGAGCTGGTTGCGACAGGGCTTCCGTACTCTGACTGAGTACCCATCAGGTCAGCTTCCTAGCTGCTCCAGGGACCCTGGAACTCTTCAGCAGAGATAACTCATTCCAGGTAGGTATTGTCCCCTTTGCATTTGCCTCATTAGCTCCTTTCCCTGGCAGATATTCATACCTCCGCCTGCACTGTGGCCAGCTACTGCCTTTACAAAGGCACTCGGATGGAAAAGGGAGAGAGACATTTATAGGGGGAGAGAGACATGGATGGGGGAAGAGAGACATGGATGGGCGAGAGACATGGAATGAAGGGGAACAGAGACATGGAAAGAAGGGGGAAAGATGAGACGTGGATGGAAGGGAGGTAGAAGCAAGCAGAGTGGAGTGTGCAGTCACACCTTACTCTGCCTGGAGATTGCAGAGATCGAGCGGAGTGGACAGTGCAGCTACCAACCTGGCTGAGACTACAGTTTGCAGAAGGACTGAGGGAGCTAGCAGAGCGGACACTCCAGATAGTGGCGTTACTACTGAGATAGTAAGTAACTTGAGGTGAAGCTTTTGAGTGAATTCTCTATGTTTACCCAGGATTACATATTGTTTGCATGAAAATGATTCAAGTAATTTTAGTTTGTGTTGATCTAGGTCAAACTCTTTGTTATTTTTTTATTTTTTTGCGTCCCACATAAACTTAAGCCGTGTTTATTTGGCCTGAGTTAGCCTTTGAGTTTGAAATGTTTGCCCTAAAAGATTGACCACATGCTGTTTATGAAGTGTATACAGGGAGTGCAGAATTATTAGGCAAATGAGTATTTTGACCACATCATCCTCTTTATGCATGTTGTCTTACTCCAAGCTGTATAGGCTCGAAAGCCTACTACCAATTAAGCATATTAGGTGATGTGCATCTCTGTAATGAGAAGGGGTGTGGTCTAATGACATCAACACCATATATCAGGTGTGCATAATTATTAGGCAACTTCCTTTCCTTTGGCAAAATGGGTCAAAAGAAGGACTTGACAGGCTCAGAAAAGTCAAAAATAGTGAGATATCTTGCAGAGGGATGCAGCACTCTTTAAATTGCAAAGCTTCTGAAGCGTGATCATCGAACAATCAAGCGTTTCATTCAAAATAGTCAACAGGGTCGCAAGAAGCTTGTGGAAAAACCAAGGCGCAAAATAACTGCCCATGAACTGAGAAAAGTCAAGCCTGCAGCTGCCACGATGCCACTTGCCACCAGTTTGGCCATATTTCAGAGCTGCAACATCACTGGAGTGCCCAAAAGCACAAGGTGTGCAATACTCAGAGACATGGCTAAGGTAAGAAAGGCTGAAAGACGACCACCACTGAACAAGACACACAAGCTGAAACGTCAAGACTGGCCAAGAAATATCTCAAGACTGATTTTTCTAAGGTTTTATGGACTGATGAAATGAGAGTGAGTCTTGATGGGCCAGATGGATGGGCCCGCGGCTGGATTGGTAAAGGGCAGAGAGCTCCAGTCCGACTCAGACGCCAGCAAGGTGGAGGTGGAGTACTGGTTTGGGCTGGTATCATCAAAGATGAGCTTGTGGGCCTTTTCGGGTTGAGGATGGAGTCAAGCTCAACTCCCAGTCCTACTGCCAGTTCCTGGAAGACACCTTCTTCAAGTAGTGGTACAGGAAGAAGTCTGCATCCTTCAAGAAAAACATGATTTTCATGCAGGACAATGCTCCATCACACAAGTACTCCACAGCGTGGCTGGCAAGAAAGGGTATAAAAGAAGAAAATCTAATGACATGGCCTCCTTGTTCACCTGATCTGAACCCCATTGAGAACCCGTGGTCCATCATCAAATGTGAGATTTACAAGGAGGGAAAACAGTACACCTCTCTGAACAGTGTCTGGGAGGTTGTGGTTGCTGCTGCACGCAATGTTGATGGTGAACAGATCAAAACACTGACAGAATCCATGGATGGCAGGCTTTTGAGTGTCCTTGCAAAGAAAGGTGGCTATATTGGTCACTGATTTGTTTTTGTTTTGTTTTTAAATGTCAGAAATGTATATTTGTGAATGTTGAGATGTTATATTGGTTTCACTGGTAATAATAAATAAATGAAATGGGTATATATTTGTTTTTTGTTAAGTTGCCTAATAATTATGCACAGTAATAGTCACCTGCACACACAGATATCCCCCTAACATAGCTAAAACTAAAACAAACTAAAAACTACTTCCAAAAATATTCAGCTTTGATATTAATGAGTTTTTTGGGTTCATTGAGAACATGGTTGTTGTTCAATAATAAAATTAATCCTCAAAAATACAACTTGCCTAATAATTCTGCACTCCACAATATGTATTGTACACTGCTTATTGTATCGTTTGATGTAATTTTTCTTTTATTCTTTTAATAGATGACTTTGTTTTGAAACTGTTAAAGAAAATTGTTGTCATTCTCTCTGTGTTTACTATGTTGGAGGAAATGGATTTTGCTGAGTATTTTGTTTCCTCTTTGAAAAATGTTGATGTGGAATAATATGAAAAATGCTGACATAGATGATATATTTCACTTATTTTAGCCGATCCCCTCCCAATGACATGTATGAACAGACTAATTTTCATTTTGCATTAAAATGATTAAAGTATTTTAATGATATCTCCTTCTCTTCTCAAATCTAAGAAGTACCTCTTGGTCCAAACACTGCCTGGCTCCTAGTTCTCTTACCCACTGTACTGACCAATAGAGCAGTGTTTCCCAACCCAGTCCTTAAGGCACACCTACCAGTCCAGGATTTAGGGATTACCCAGTTGTGTCTAAGGTGTTTTTTTTCTTCTTTGT